ACATTTCTAAAAAAGTAAGATTTTAGAGTCTGACAAGCAGAAGACACATTCAAGAACAGTAAGAGTGTAGGCATTCATTCTAAGGTAATCGTGTAACCGAGGGAATCTCCTCTGCAGGCATTTGCAGGAAGCTGAGAACTAGTTGGTGAGGAAGCTCACACGGTGTTGAGCTAGCTCCTAGAGAATGCCGGTGAGCGCAGGCCCTCTTCAATCCCTGACACACGACCTGCCGATAACCTGACATCCCACGGCTACTCTCCGCTTTCTGCAAGCTCTTCTGCTTTACTTCGCATTTCATGCTATTCCGTGAGTATAACAATATACTAACTTCCTAAAATCACACACACGGCCTGCCGATAACCTGACATCCCACGGCTACTCTCCGCTTTCTGCAAGCTCTTCTGCTTTACTTCGCATTTCATGCTATTCCGTGAGTATAACAATATACTAACTTCCTAAAATCACACACACGGCCTGCCGATAACCTGACATCCCACGGCTACTCTCCGCTTTCTGCAAGCTCTTCTGCTTTACTTCGCATTTCATGCTATTCCGTGAGTATAACAATATACTAACTTCCTAAAATCACACACACGGCCTGCCGATAACCTGACATCCCACGGCTACTCTCCGCTTTCTGCAAGCTCTTCTGCTTTACTTCGCATTTCATGCTATTCCGTGAGTATAACAATATACTAACTTCCTAAAATCACGTTTAAAATTATACTTGACCCTACTTTACTTCAGTAAGTCAAGGCCACGTTTCACAAGATGGGATTGGCTGTTTTGATTAGAGATTTTCACAGAAAACATGTATTGATATATCCTGTAGCACTTGAAGAGTGGAGGAGATTTAATTATGTGACAATGCAGATCAATCTAATGAGGCATTATGTACGTTTTATTAAAACTGAAACAAAAAACAGCCTAGATAAGCCTTCCCCGCACAGTCTGGCTGTGGCCCTTCGAGTGCTATCTTCCTCTACTGCCTCGGTGACGCTGGTCACCAGCCCCCGGCCTGCCTGCAGGGAGCAGGCCACCGCCTGGGAAGAACACCGCGCAGGTGGGGGGAGCCCTGGAACCCACGTGGTCCCTTCAGGAGCCACTGGTGTCAGCGTGGACTCCTCGTGGACGGTCCAGAGGCCTGGACAGCGGCGGCCAACGGGCTTCGCAAGTCTGCGTCCGTGTCATGAAGCACCGAGGCTACTCTTTCCACACCAAGTACCAACAACAGCTTCCTCGCGGAGATCGGGTTGCGGGGGTGTTCTTACCTTTCTCTGTATTTCCGAATTCCTCACAGCTCTAGTTCTACAGCAGGGGAAAGTGCCTCCTTTTCTACAGCCCTCTTCCTGAAACGCTGGTCCTGGCACGTGCTAACACTCTCCAGAGGCCGCGTGGTGGCAAGGCCCTTCCAGGCCCATGAGGCTCCTTGCACACGCACTGGCCCTCCAGCCGCCCAGAAGGGACCTTCCTCCCACAGACCCTGCTCTGGCCTCCTGCCCCCTGGGCCCGCCTGCTCGCACCCACAGCCGCTCTCGCCCACCACCAGCTCCCAGCGCCCTCCTTCCTCTGTCTGCAGTACTCCAAGCGAGGAGGAGCAGAGCCGAGCTTCCTGTGTCCCCCAGCGATGAACGCTTCCCTCCTTCTCCAGGCCTCACTTCCCCAGTTAGACGGGCATGATCCCAGCTCCCTGCCTTCCTCCGTTTCCCTGACCAGCCACCTCTCTCCTCTAGTGCCCAGTCTCAACACTGGCTTCCCGGCATCCTGCGCTGCACAACTGCGCCTCCGTCCCACTCACTTGGCGCGCCGTTCCCCTCCTGTCCCCCTCCTCCGGCCTGACTCTGCCCGGTCCCCCAGCCCTTAGACCGTATGCCTCCACCAAGGCTCCCTCTGCTTGGCGCCCAGCGGTGCCCTTCCACGACGCACTCGCAGCCGTGCCACCTGAGCCAGCGGCAGAGTGCGGGCGTGAGCCACAGCCTGGCTCACGATGCCCAACCTCGGGCACCCAGCAGGTGCACCAGGGCGGTCGTCTAACTCCTAGCTTCTCCTAGCTTCTCCTTCCCAGACTGAAGGTATTCTCCAGCTGAACTCACCGTTAATGCTGGCGATCCAAACCGCGGCACTGAAAACCCTACCACCTGCTACTCACACACCTCTGACTTTCTTACTCCAGGTCGAGAAGCTGACTGCAGGACTCCTAGGCCCGGTCCCAACCCTTTCCCTCTCTTTGAACACTTTCTGGTACTGGGCTCCAAGCTTCTGGGAAACCCAACGACACAAATATAATGAAGTGATATTCACATTTCGGCCTGTGTGTGTATGCGTCTTACAGCAACAAAGATTGTCGTTACAAAACACTCCTGACAGGTGACTGTAGTCGGGGACACGCAGAGAAGGAGGAAGGAAACGTAAGAGCTGCAGGTAATCAGAACACCCAGGACTGCAAGGCTCTCCAACTAGCCCAATTCGAAGACCACCACCATGTACATACATGGTTAGAACAATTTTAAAAAACATTGCAAAATTCTTGTTGAGAGCAAATTTTGCTTTTTTAAGAATTGCCATCAAATCAGTGTAGCAAAAGAGAAAGATGTTACGACTTTTTTAAAAGTTCCAGGATTTGTAAGAGACAGATAAACTTACTGCTCAGAGAAGGTACAAATTCAGACTGGTGATGCCACTTGCGTTAGAAGCTGGGCCTGGCCATCAACCTATCGATGTTTAACTAAACAGTCCCTGGTTTCCTGACCCCACCACGAGCCCTAAGTAGAGACGGTCAATCACATCCCACCAGGCTCACGTATGGGAGGTCTGGTCCTCTCCACGGCGTGCACAGGGCCGGAGAGCAGTTCTGACTGTAACGTGAGGCTCTCTTAGCTGCAGGTTAGGACAAAGCACAGTAGAGGGACACTAAGTGCTCCATCTCGAGGTCCCTGGCGCTGACCGCGGCTCCTCTCTCCCAGTACCTGCTGCACGTCCCTGTATAAACCTAGACAACAGCCAGCTCTGCTCCCACTGACCAGTCCCACGTCGTCGCGCATTTTCATAAACATAATTCGAAGCCTGGCTATAAGCTGGATTATTGCCCAACAGGGATTCAAACGCTTCTAAACAGCGCGCTGCTGCCCACATGCCGCAGTCTGTCCCCACTTCTGTGATTTCTGTGGCTCGCGACACCGCAACTTTTCCAGGAAATGACTGCTGCTCTACACTCCGCTGGCGACAAGCGGGGGGAACCCGCGTCACTCCAACACTCAACAGTTCACACGGGAGCAAAACTCCACTCACTGCTCTCGAGGGATCTGTGCCTCCCCTTAGAAAATGTATCAAATATCTAATAAGGTTTGCTTATTACCTACGGTTCTTTATAAATTACAGATGCCTTCTCCTATCCTATCTGGTAAGGTCGCTACTATGTTTTTGCTTATTCATCTGTATGACCCCTTCCATTTATTAAGAATATTTTTGGGTTGGGGCCAGTAGGTGCCGCGGTGGTTAAGGTATTGGATTTCCACATGGCGGACCACGGTTCGAGTCCTGAACCTGGCGGCTTGCTTTCTCACCACCCCCTCCCCTGGTCTCTCTCCAGTAAGCACACATGCCCTGTAACAAATTAAAAAATAGTAATAATGATAAATAAGAAATTAAATAAATAATGGAGAAAAAAGAATATTCATGGGCAAGCAGGGAGCATGGTAGCTAAGATGCATGGTTCGTGTCCCGGACCTGGCAGCTTGTCTTCTCACTTTCTCTCTCCATCCCTCTCTAGTGACCACACGCACCCTGTAGCAAAATTATAATTAATTCTTTTTTTTTTTTAAAGAAAGAATATCTTTGCCTATCATTCTGACTGAATTTTCCTTGTCCTCTTTCATTCCACTTTTAGCATTTTTTCATATTCAAGTTTTACATCTTTGTAACTTCTTTAAATTAGAAAGGCCATTTGCACAAATTAAAACCACTAAATCTTAAGAGCACGCATATTTAAGCCGCCATGTGATGAACGCACAGACTATGCGGCCGGTTCAGTAGGACAGCGTGGTAGAACGAGCTAACGGAAACCTCACGCTCCAGTCACAGAAGTCCCACACTGCGTGTGATCGACCCGAGACCGCCCGTCTCATGTGCTCACCTGAGAGAGGCAGGCGGTGACCCCAAAGAAGATCTGGCAGGACTCGGGAGAAAAGCCATCGACTCTGTGTCGGTTATTAAGGTCACAATGAAGGTAGATCGGGGCGACCTGCGCTTCGTGGACAGACACGCCCCACCTGGTCAGCTCTAAAGAAAGGAGCAGACAGGACCGGGGCTCCCGTGAAACAGGCCTGAACCCCACTGTGCCCCTAAATTACACATGAAATGGGCAGCACGTGCCCCTGGGGAAGACACGCATCTTAAGGCCAGAACGAAGAGGACCGTGACCCCCGCACAGCACAGAGCTCCGGGGCCGGCCAAGCCATGGCCGCCAGCTCTGGGCTCAGGGCAGCAACCCGAGTGCTGAGTCCCTTTCAGAACAAGACTTAAAATATGAATTCCCCAGGTCTTCATGGTTCCAAAGCTCTGACTTTTCAAATTAATTCACAACCATCAGAGCTTGCTATGGGCCCGACGCTGGGAGTGCGGCCACACAGAGGCAGGCAGGGTCTCCGTCCGCTCTACACGAGTACACGAGTCTCTTCAAAGCAAACACCACGATTCTGGTGAGATGTCAAAACAGGATAGTGTTACTTCTTCCCCGAGGGAGAAAAGCACACCTGCTGAGACAGGTGAAGTAAGAAATGCATCAAATTGGGACCAGCAGTTAGCGTAATGGCTATGTCGCTGGATTCCCACGTAGTCGACCGCAGTTCGCGTCCTGGACCCGGTGGCTTAAAACTCACGCCGGGCATGTGTGCGTGCGTGCCCAAGATCCCGAGAGGAGAATGGAGGAGAAGGGATTGTGGCGTGGCCATCCCCCCTGGGGGGTGATTTCTCACTTTCTATCTCTCTGTCTCTGTCTGTCTGGCGAGCGCACGCGCGCCCTATAGCAAAAACCTCTCAAAAAAAAGAAATGCATCAAATTGAAAATTTTCCACAATTCCCAAGTCTCCTACGTGGACACGCAGGTTTTTTTGACACTCTTCTAAGTATCGGCACCTTTCCTGACTGGGACAACCTCTGCAGACTCCAACACAACGCCTCAGCCCATTATCCAGAATGCTCCCATCTCCCTACTTCCAAAGTCAGGGATTTCCCACTTCCAAGACTTGGGGAGACACTAGCAGACACAGCTCAGCATGAACTCGCTTATCAGAGTGGGGGCGGTGGGGAGATGACCGCTTCTCAAGGAAGTCCCTGCCCAGGAAAAACAGTCTCAGCTTCAGAAACAGACACTCTGCTCTTAGTGCTTCAGTTCTTCGTAAATCCAGGCTTAAAAAGAAAAGAAAAACAAACAAAAAAGGATCGGATTTCCTACATCTCTTCAGACTGTGGGTTAGAAACCTTGGGGTTGGGAGTCACAGTTGCGGAGATCCCACGTAGCCTCTGGGGAAGGCGGCTGTCGCAGGACGCTCTCCCTGAGGCCGGGTGGGCCAGCATCAGGGTCCTCCCTCCTGCGCTGACTCGATCCAATCCGTAGGGCGCACATGCAGATAGTGCATCTGCCCGACGGGGCTCAAACCGCACAGGGAGGACAGTCTGACGTTCAATGTCGGGATGATGATGCCCGGTCCTCCTAAAAGCAGGGGCTTCCACAGCCAGGCTGTGCGTGCGGTGACTCTCCAGTGACGTCTCATCCTTTCGGAGGGACGCAGGAGCCTCCCGGCTGAGAAAAGCGAACAGCGGCCTCCTGCTGCCACCTGCCACAGCGCCGGGCCAGAGTCACCCGCTAGACATGCCACGCGCCAAGCACACACGTGAGGAAGCTCGAGACAGAAACGGTGTCGTCATCCGCACTGGATCTCCAGGAGCACCACAGCAGGTGCCGAACACGGGCTACACCGTGCAGCTACACAGGTCAACAGCACACGCTATGAACTGTCCCATGGTCTCTTCCCCAGTCTACTCTTCGAATACTTCACCACCTGGTGTACACGGACTCTCACAACTATCACTCGCCCAGCTGGTCACCACCAATATTGAAAAGAACACCAACCTGCATCTCCAGTCCCAGCTGAACGCTCCTTCCCAGAGCCCCCCACTCTTACCAGGATAATGATGGGGACCAGGAGGGAAGCAGTGCAGACAAAACCACCTGTTCCCACACCACCCACCTCGTCGGCTGTGTCAGTCCTAGCCCAGAGCACCCTGCCCTCCACCCTCTACCCCTCCCCCAGAAAGGATACGGCAGGAGCGCTCCACACTGGACGGACAGAATCACCCAGGAAGGCTGAAAAGGAACAGATTAACTGCAGTCAGAAAGTGCTTTCAATTTATCATCAAAATGGCATTATCTGCTACTGCTGCACCTAGAAAGTAGAATAGAAGGCTCAGTTACAGACAAATACAAAATATCCAGATTGTGAGTGATCGAGAGGAATACCTTGTAAGACTACTCAAGCCCAAGATGGACAAGCCAATGATAAAATAAACCCTTATCATATTTACTAGAAAATCACTAGAGAAGACATTTATGCAGGCTTACACTCACTGCTGCTGCTTCACAATGAGGGGGATGGGAGCGGCCACCCATCCCACTTGCCACCACCCTTCCCCTTGAAGCTTCCCTTCTAGGGTCCTGAATCACTCGGGTCTAAACTGGTGAAGCTAGGCAGACACTGTTCACACACTATAAAGATTATTTCAAACTAGAAAATTTTAAATGAATCCCAAAACTCAGACTAACTACAAAACAGGTTAATGACTGACTTTCAACAAATTATCTTTTTGAAAAGTTACCAGTCTTACGTTTTATTTTTAAATGACACTAATCATTATCCTGATAGCTCTACTTCATAAAATTACTTTCTAAACACATAGTAATGCCTCCAGCTGACTTCCAGAAGCTTTGCACTCAGATATTCAGACATACTGAGTACTCATCCATCACTTCAAGTTGTTGTTTTTTTTTTTAAGAATTATTTCATTTATATTTATTTATTTTCATTTGACCTGAGGGACAGAGTGAGAGATAGAGAGAGAGAGAAAATGAAAAAGCAAGTGGCTAGGTCCGGGACTTGAACCAGAGTTGGCCATGTGGGAGTCCATCTTCCTTAACCACCACGCTACCTGCTGGCCCCATTCATGAAGTTCTTTCTGAGGGTCTATTTTGTGCAGAGATGGTATGAAGTGCCAGGGAAGTATGAGTAACAATGAACAGGAGAAACGCAGTCTGCTCTCATGCAACTAAGAGTCCACGGCAACGCCCTCAAGGGTAGCTACGCTGCTCGCACCATGGTGGTCATAACACCTTAGAAAAGTTCCAGACAGCAAAGTGTCCCTGCGTTTATTTTTTAGATAATATGTACAATTTTTTTTTTGGGGGGGGCGTAAGTTTTAATAAGCATATTTTGTGTGAAAGACTGCAAGTATTATGCATCTTATAAAGACTGGCTGTACTTGGGATAACTATTTCATGATTTCTTAATCTTACAAGATTTTAACTGGGACCAGCAGTTAGCGTAATGGCTATGTCGCTGGACTCCCATGTAGTCGACCGTGGTTCTAGTGGGCGCATGTGTGTGCGTGCCCAAGATCCTAAGAAGAGAATGGAGAAGGGATCCGGCGTGGTCATCCCCCACCCCCGGGGGGGGTTGTGATTTCTCATTTTCTGGCTCTCTGGTGAGAGCACATGCCCTATAACAAAAACCTCTCCAAAAAAAAAAAGATTTTAACTTATGAGATAAATATTCAGTTGTTGGAAAAGTCATGACTCATTTTTGCATAGAAAAAAATGTCATGACTT